ACCCTAAAGTAAAACATTTAAGATCTGAATGCCATATATAATTTTCTAGACAAGATTTTGTGTATGTCTAGGCAATCCTTTAAGAAATAGAACCTCTATATTTAAAATCAGAAAATGGTTGAAAGACCCAGATCAAAAGTTCTTTACTTGCATTTAAAGTTATTTCAAAGATATTAAGTTAAGTTTATGTAAAGAGATTCTAGGACAATCAAACGTATTTCACTTAATAACTGTAGGTTATTCAGCCAATAAATAGTTTCATGTTTCTTAAATACAAACATTACATCTTTATCTTGAGACTAATGAAATGCTTTATTAGTTGTGCCTTTCCAGACAGCTGATGAGAATTTATTAAATGGCAGCCACATCACTACTGTTTCTGTCTAAAACAAAATACATTTTAATTTGCACTGGTTTCTAACTAAAAATGCAAAGCTTTTCAGTGTTTATATAGATTGAGATAAGTCTGTTGTGAATCAGTTATAGTCTGTAGATTATGCGCTATGACAAGTCTGAGCCTTTTGTTCTACATGTTTAAACTGTTGCTGCTGTTCTTGCAAAGGCAGGTGGAAAAAATTTCTAGCTAGGTACTCACTAGGATGGGATCAAAGTTGTCATAATATGCTTTATGATACTGTCTATTTTAAATTAAATTATATAAAGAAAAATGAAGCTCACAACTGAAGAGGAAGACAAATAATCCAATTAAAATATAGGACTGGAATAGACACTTTCCCAAAGAGGACATACAGATGGCCAATAGACATGAAAAAATGCTCAACATCACTAATCATCAGAAAAATGCAAATTAAACCCACAATAAGGTACCATCTCACACCTGCCAGAATGACTATCATCAATAAATCAACAAATAACAAGTGCTAGTGAGGATGTTAAAAAAAGGAACCCTAGTACATTGCTGGTGGGAATGCAGACTGGTGCAGCCACTGTGGAAAACAGTATGGCAGTTCCTCAAAAAATTAAAAATGAAACTGCCTTATGATCCAGAAATTCTACTTCTAAGAATATATCCTATGAACTCCAAAATACCAATCAGAAAGGATATATGCATCCCTATGTTATTCACAATAGCTACGATCTGGAAACAGCCCAAGTGCCCATCAGTAGATGAGTGGATAAAAAGGCTGTGGTACATTTACACCATGGAATACTATGCAGCAGTAAAAAAGAAGGATCTATTACCCTTTGAGACAGCATGGATGGATCTGGAGAGTACTATGCTAAGTGAAATAAGCCAGACATAGAAAGATAAATATTACATGATCTCACTTATATGTGGAATCTAATGAACAAAATAAACTGACAAAATAGGTCCAGAGACATGAAAGCATAGAACAGACTAACAGATATCTCAGAGGGAAGGGAGCGAGGAGGGCAGGAAGAGATTAACCAAAGAACTTACATGCATATATGCACAGCTGATGGGCACAGACAACAGTGAGGTGAAGGCCTAGTGTGGGCTAAGAGCTGGGTGGAGAAGGGTATAAGGGGGAGAAGGGGGATATCTGTAATACGCTCAACAGTAAAAATAAATTTTTAAAAGAAGAAAAATGAAGCTCATTTATATCATTCAAAAAATATTAGTGTTCTCCAGACACAGAAACTTAATGTTGAAAATAAAACTTATGATGTTTAAAGGTATTGCTTGTTTCATTATTTTTTTATGAGCAAGATTCATTGTAATAGTTTCAGAACAGCGTTTGTGTAGTTGAGTCTTTCTTTTGCTTCTCAATTAAAACAAAAAAGAGCTAGTAGTTCAAAAGAAACATTTCTTTTCTCCACAAGATGCTGGGAAGATCCTAGTGAAGCCTGAATCAACGACTACGATGAATTCTTTGGCTTGAGAAAATGTGGGTTGCTTTACCCATAAACACACATTTGGAAGTAAAGAAACGTTTTAAAGGGGTGCATGAAACAAAGTATTCCACCAAGTTTTCAACCATGACTTCTGCTTGGCCTGAATTGCAAGTGACAGACAATGCTCTACGGTGAAGCTATGATAACAACATACAAAATAATAAATCATTGAACAAAGGAGTCAGAGCAATTATGAAGTATGCTCACTAGGGTTACACAGAGAGCCTTTGTCTTTCAAAACATCTTCCAAATATTATAGTATGTGTTGGTATCAATAGACAGCCTATGGCTGGATGGGCAGCTGGTTAAGAGCTAGAAGAAAACTAGAACTCTCTCTTCACATGTTACCTTTATTTAACCCAAGCCTCTAAAGAGTTCCCAGGATTCCATTTGAATGTGAGTCTTATTTCTGGCATACAGATTGAAAATTGAGATCACCATGTATGAGATAATGTATGTGAAAATAATCGTACCTGTAAAAGAAAGCTATTAAAAACTGCAAAAGTATATTTTCTCTACACGTTTTAATAACCAATATTTCATTACTAAAAACATTGTAAGTAAATTCATACAATAAATATTTATGGAGCGATTTCCTCAAGTTTTTCTTTAAAAAAAATTGGACCATTTTCTCTCTATTGAAAGGGGGTCTCATTTCCCTTTTTCCACATTTATGGGTTAGAATAAAAACACAAGTTAACTCATTTCTAACATAAAATATTTCTCTTATCCTCTTCGCAAAAGAGATGACCATAAATGGAGTCCTGGGGACAATATTATTTGATATTTACTTATCAAATGTCATGCAATTAGAACTAAAATGATTGTTAATAAATGGAATAAATGTGTCCTCAAAATATCTATATTTACAATAAAATGAATCTTAACAATAAAATATTGTAATGAAATTGGACTTGCTAACTGTTATGTACAATATTGCTTGTTCATTCCAAACAAACATATAACATTGTTTAATTTGGTTGTAGTACTTTATAGTTTTACTTTACTATTTACCAAACCCATTTGGTTGAGTTATTCAAACTAACTTCTGCCAAGAACACTAGGAATTTGGTGATAGTGCTTCTTTTAGGAGAAAAACAACCCCTTTCCTCAGAAAATCGAAAATGTTTATCTTGGCAGTAAAACCTTATATTGAGCTTTCTGGAAAGTATTTTAAATTGTTGTTTCTGTGACTGAAACAGGAAAAGGCTCTGCAGCTCTGCACCAAAATACATATTTATAGGGTTGATTTTCTTTCTACACCAAAAATACTAGGTTGATGGCAGCAATTTTCAAAGAACCATGCTAAAAATTGAGCATTATCACTATATTCAACACACAATTTATTTGTTAAGCCTCAAACACTTCTGATGACTAACAAATGCTAAATATTGACGAAATATGCTGTCTTCCGGTGCCATATTGGAAAGGGTTATTTTATTTAACTACCTGTTCTGTTAGGAATTTTAACAAAAAGAAAATTTGCTTGATATTATACTTTTCTCTTGTGTATATATAAAAAATATGTTTCTAAGTTTATATCTTTTTTACATTTTCCCCACTAGGTATGCTTTATCCTCAGACAATACAGAACATAGAGATAAACCACATAAACTTTTGCAATATTGTCCTAATAATGTGTCTCTATATGATTATGAAGTTTGGGAAAATTGACAAAAATGAAATAGTTTGCTATTAACGCCTCTACCCTGGCCCTAAATTATTAAAATATGAGACAACAGAAACTGTACGGTATGCATGAGGCTGTATTAAAATGGCAGGTCAAACAATTTCACAAAAACCACCAGATAGCTTCAATGATTTTTTTGTCATTATTAACCGCCATAAAATATTACATATCCCATTACCAACCCTTTGCAGATCAAGTTGAAACTTTATCTATTTTTCTTCCTTCTAACAGCCTGGCTGTCCCTTTATAAAAATAATAACATCACCACTTTATATTTGCATAACATTTTTTATAAAGTTAAAATGTGCTTAACAAATATTTGTTTAGGATGTTCTGGCAGGGAATTAGTTGTTCAAAAATTCTGGTATGGTTAAATTATCTCATTTAGGTTAAAAAAAGTAAAATATCTACCAAATATATCTTATTAAAATCCATAACTGCCTTTGTCAATTAAATACAAATTTTAATTTTAAAAGCCTGGTCTTTCCTGCTGTGACTGAATTCTGCTTAAATCCAGAAACATCAAGAAAGGGTCTATTCAAATGAGTGCAACAGGAGTAAACTATATGGGAATTACGGTCTTACTGAAAAGGAAGACTAGGAAGAAGTGGACTCTTCCTGAACAAAAATCCTATTCTCATGCTGCTATGGTTATGTAACAATGACAGACATCCTTTTCACTGGCACTAAAATCTTGAGCCATCCTAACACTCCCCCTTATTCCTCAGAGTCTCAGTGTCAATGAAAAATACAGTTCTGGCCCTGACCGGTTTGGCTCAGTGGATACAACGTCAGCCTGCAGACTGAAGGGTCCCAGGTTCGATTCCAGTCAAGGGCTTGTACCTTGGTTGTGGGCACACCCCCAGTGGGGGGTATGCAGGAGGCAGCTGATCGATGTTTCTCTCTCATTAATGTTTCTAACTCTCTATCCCTCTCCCTTCCTCTCTGTAAAAAATCAATAAAATATATTTTTTTAAAAAAGAAAAAAGAAAAGTAAAATACAGCTCTGACAAGCTGGGCTAATTTAATATTTGAAAGGCTATGATTAATGTGCTAGGTTACCTTCACAGAAGACTTAGATTAAACCCTACCATCACTTTTTCTTCTTTAAATTTAAAATGTTAACTGTATTATAAGAATATCTGAAATCAGGTCAGAAAAAAACACCTATCAGAATTTGAGGACTATTAATTTACATATTCAGTTCTCACATTCTATAAGTAGAATGTGAACAAATAAATCTCCATTCCCTCTTTCTCTATTTACTAAGGAGCGGTGATTTACCTCAACCACTCTAGAAACAAAACAAAACAAAACCCATGCCACTCATGGGACACAATTATTTGGGTAACACTTTAGTTACATGGTTGATGAAAATTACAAAGGAGCACTGTTTTTTTCTATTAAAATGAGTAGGTGTAACAGAACATACCTGAAAAAGAACATGTACATGGCAGCTGTGATGCAGAACAAAAGGACCTATAACAAGGAGAAAACACATTACTTGCAAATGAACACTGACATTGTCATCGGGCTGTCTAAAAAGCAAAATGCCTACTATTAAATTTTGTACCTGAGACAATTTAAAGATGTGCAAAAGTAGTCATACATCTTTCATTCTCTACATTTCAAATAAACTGTATTAAGGTAATAAAGAGTGTATACACACATATAATATATATATATATATATATATATATATATATATATATATGTTATAATTACATGTATGTTTGTATATAGACTGAGCAGAAGGATAATACAGTTCAAAAAAGAACAGCCAATTTTTAAAATTATCTCTAAGAATGCCATAAAAAAGAATGAAATCTTGCCATCTACAACAATATGGATGGACCTAGAGGGTATTATGCTAAGTGCAATAAGTCAGACAGAGAAAGACAAATACTATATGATTTCACTTATATCAGGGATCTAAAAATCAAAAGAACAAAACACAAACAAACTCATAGAGAGGACAAAATAATGGTTGCCAGATTTTGGGAGGGGGTGGGGTTTGGAAGGTGGGGTGAACAAAGTGAAAGGATTAAGAAGTATAAATTGGCAGTTATAAAAATAGTCATGGAGATGAAAAGTACAGTTTAGGGAATATAGTGAATAATATTGTAATTACTATGTGTGGCGTCAGGTGGGTACTTGACTTAGTGGGTTGATCCCTTCTTAAGTTATATAAATGTCTAATCACTATGTTGTACACCTTAAACTAATACAATATTATATGTCAACTGTAACTGTAAAAACAAAACAAAAAAACACAAGAATGCCTAAAGAAGCAAGTTTTTAAAAAGACAATGGCTTTTATAATTAAATCAGCAAATCCTATCTAATAAAAGACAAAAAGGATAATTAACCGTACCTCCGCTATGCTTCCCATTGGCTAATCAGGGTGATATGCAAAGTAACTGCCAACAAAGATGGCGGCTGGCAGCCACGCAGCTGAAGCGAGCAGGAGGCTTGCTTGCTCCAGTGATGGAGGAAGCCAAGGTTCCCCGCCTGCCGCGGTCTGGCTCTGAGCCCGAAAGCAACAATGTTTCAATTATAGAAGCTAAACAAACCCCAGATACCTGCTTTCAGCCGGCCACGGCCTCAGAGCTGGGAGCGCCAGTGATGACAACAACGTTTCAATTATAGAAGGTAAATAAATCCCAGAATAAAAAAAGAAAAAAAAAGGAGAGGCTGGGAGCTTCAGTCACTGGCCAGCCTGAAAACGGCCCTCAGCCCCTCACCCAGACTGGCCAGGCACCCCAGTGGGGACCTCCACCCTAAAGGGGGTGTGGCCAGCCTGAAAACAGCCATCAGCCCCTCATCCAGGCTGGCCAGGCACGCCAGTGGGGACCCCCACCCTGAAGGGGGTGTGGCCAGCTGCAAACAGCCATCAGCCCCTCACCCAGGCTGGCCAGGCACCCAAGCGGGACCCCCACCCTGATCCAAGACACCCTTCAGGGCAAACCAGCCGGCCCCCACCCATGCACCAGGCCTCTATCCTATATAGTAAAAGGGTAATATGCAAACTGACCCTAACAGCAGAAAGACTGGGAATGACTGGTCACTATGACACACACTGACCACCAGGGGGCAGACGCTCAATGCAGGAGCTGCCCTCTGGTGGTCAGTGCGCTCCCACATGGGGCAGCTCTGCTCAGCCACAAGCCAGGCTGATGGCTGCCAGTACAGCGGTGGTGGTGGGAGCCTCTCCTGCCCCCTCAGCAGCGCTAAGGATGTCTGACTGCAGTTTAGGTCTGCTCCCCGCTGGCAAGTGGACATCCCTGAGAGCTGCCGGGCTGCCAGAGAGATGTCTGATTGCCATCTTAGGCCCAATCCCCCGGGGAGCGGGCCTAAGCCAGCAGGGGGTCATCCCCCGAGGGGTCCCAGACTGCGAGAGGGCACAGGCCGGGCTGAGAGACCCCCCCGAGTGCACAAATTTTTGTGCACCGGGCCTCTAGTAAATCATAATATTTATTCACTATTACATTAAGATGACCATATTTTTTTAAATGTAAAATACAGTCAGTCCAGTTGTCAACCAATTCTAATCAATAAGAAAAGTTCCTAAAATATATAATCATCTTTTGTGGGATATAAACCAGCTATTGAAATTTCTTCTAAAAGCAGGCATCAGAACATAGTAAATGTGGATTAAAGCTCCCCTCAAACCTACCATACTAAGTACACAATATACTAAGATGTATATGGAAAGAATCCAGAACCCAAGTCCTGACAAAACCTGAGTTATGCCAACACAGTTTTTCTCTTTACTCTCTGTGTTTTATTTTAGATCATTTCTACTGTTATGCCTTCAAATTTACTGGAATCGACCTACTTCATTAATTTCAATTTTATTTAATTTTTTAATTAAATATTTTTATGGCTCCATTTTCTTGTTGGCTTATGTTAGTGTTTGTTTTAGGGTTTACATCTTTAAATTGATAGTTTTCATTCAAGTGATATTATACCACTTACCATGTAATACAGAAACTTGCGATACTACTGGTATACTTCCATTTGTTCCCTTTGTTCAATATTTATGATAATATTCTTTACTCTGAAATCTATTTTATCTGATAGTAACAGTTTCCAGTCTGGCTGGTAGGAACAGACACTATTCCTGCTGCTATTTGAGTACCGAGCACTTAGGTAAGGATCTACAGTGCTTCCAGGTTATTCTTTCCTTGTACTGTGGCATTTTCCTCACTTACATGCCCTAATTAGTAATCAGCCGAGTACTTTCTCTCTAATCTTTTGTTCTGTAAACTCTATCTGGCCTGGTCTACTCTCCACTCTGTTTCCTCAACTCAGAAAGTCCTCTAGACTTTGTCTGCATGCCTCCTCTTTAATCCATGCCTGGAAACTCTCTCAATGCATGGCTAGCATAACCATAGGGCTCATTTTTTCTGTTCCCTATCTCTCAGGGATCTCTTCCCTTCACTGTCTAATGTCCACTGTTTCAGATGTTTTACCTGCGTTTGAATTGTTTCACTTGCCCCAGAACTGTTATTAGCTCATAAGCAGAAGCAGAGTGTGGTTACTTAACTTTAAATTAATTTAAATGAAGTAATATTAAAATTCAGTTTCTCATTCACACTACTCACATTTCATATAATCAACAGCCACATGTGGCAGTAGGTACTATACTATATAAAACAGACATAGGACATTATCTGTTATTGCAAAAAGTTCCATTAGACCTGTCTGGCCAGCGAATCACATTTTCACTGTACATTTAAGTGCTAATGTTATAACACTTAAAATATTCAAACTTTAGCTATCAGATATAAATCTACACACATCTATTTTTATATTTTATACTTTTATGTCTAAACACCTAAAATTAACACTAATATCACAATTCACACATTTGTGAAAATAATAGAATACAAGCTATTACATAAATTGTAAAAATTAAATGAGATAACATATGTAAAGCCTAATAGAGCGACTAGTAAATGCTCACAACCGAAAGCTATTAACATGAAATAATTTCTCTGTGCTTCCCTTCCACTTCACAACCACTGTACGGTATACTTAAACTGGATAAGTAATTTTAAAATTGCTATTTTCACTTTAATTTTTTAACATTTTTAAGAATCAAAAGTTATGTAAGGTCTACTACAACATAGCTGAACCTCAAGAACATTATTTAAGTGAAAGAAGCCAGTTACAACTGACCACATGCCATACGATACCATTTATATGAAATTCCAGATTACACAAACCTATTTACAGAAAGTGAAATAATTAATGTCTAGAGCAGTGGTTCTCAACCTGGGGGTCGCATCCCCTTTCGGGGTCCAACAACCCTTTCACAGGGGTCGCCTAAGATCATCGGAAAACACATATATAATTACATATTGTTTTTGTGATTAATCACTATGCTTTCATTATGTTCAATTTGTAACAATGAAATTGGGGGTCACCACAACATGAGGAACTGTCTTAAAGGGTCGCGGCATTAGGAAGGTTGAGAACCACTGGTCTAGAGCTAAGGAAGTGAGGGTGATAGGGTTTGTTTACTAAGGATACAAAGTTTTTTCTGGGGCCAATGAAAATGTTATAAAATTAGGTTGTATGGATAGGGGCACAGCTCTGTAAATGTACTAAACACCCATGAAATTGACACTTCAAACTGATAAATTTTATAGCATATGAATTTCATCTCAAAAAACATTATTAAAGCTGACACTTTTAAGGCATGTACATGAATGACACTAAATTCAAAACAATAATAAAAGTACAATGAAAAGAAAGTGCCCTTCCATTCCAGATCCTCCCTCTCTCTCTCTCTCTCTCTCTCTCTCTCTCTCTCTCTCTCAGTGTGTATATACATTTGTACATAAACACCTACTTAATAAAAACATGTTTTATACTTTTTGATTTTACACATACACAAAAAATGCTGGTTTACTCAACAGTCTACAAATAGCTATTTAGAGGAGATGAAATAAATATTGAATACCAAAGTATACTTCGTAAACATGTACACTTATATCTCTGGAGGTAAATTCTTAGAGCTGGATTCACTGCATAGAAGGACAGGTGCATTTTTAATTTGATACACTCCCATTAACATATATGAAAATAGCTATTTCATTAGACTAGTATTTCCCTATGCCCACAAAAACTGTGATTTATCAAACTGTCTTATCCTTATCAAACTGATGGGTAAAATAAAAGATACATTATGGGTTTATTCTTCTTATGAGTGAAATGAGCACTGCAGGTTTATAAACCTTTTTGTTTGTTGTTTGATCAGTTGGTTTAACTTCTTCATATCATTTGCCTATTTTAGGATTGATCTTTTAGAAACCATTTTTATTTATTTATTTTTAAATATATTTTTATTGATTTCAGAGAGGAAGGGAGAGGGAGAGATAGAAACATCGATGAGAGAGAATCATTGAATGGCTGTCTCCTGCACATCCCCTACTGCGGATAAAGCCCACAACCCAGGCATGTGCCCTGAC